ATCCCCATGCCATGATGGCAATGCGCATTAGTATTGCATAGGTACGGCAGTACAAAGCACGTACGAAGTATGTGTGCACGTACAGCCGCTTACCTGTCTATTTCATCTGGTGTAGATTCCCCCTTTGTGGTTTCGTTGCTGAAGACTCTGAAGTAGCATTGACACGTTTTGAACTTCCTGTCCGCGGAGGCGATGCGGAAGTGCATGTTGGAAACTTGCACCTTTTTAAACTTGCGACATCGAGGAGGGCAACCATTCAATAGCTCGATCTCCTCGGCCGTGTATTCGCGTCCAAGCCAAGGGACAGGATCTTCGTCCGCCAGCAATTTGCAAAGGCGATGGTGCGCTTGACGCCCCTTGAGGTAGCGACGTCTCGGAAACCTGGAGACATACATTTCGTTACAACATCAATCCAGGTATGCTAAGAGTGAGGCCATACCTAACCAGTACCACGTAGAGGCACGGCCACACCTGCACACTGTCACGATACACATTTGATCGGCATGCACATAATTTGGTGGTGCGAGGCTTACTGTCTTCTGATAGTCGCGTTGTGAGTCTCCATGAGTTGCTTGAGCCTCGTATAATGGCCCACATTGGAATGCAGCCACTTGGTAAGCTGCCTCCTCTCCTCGTCCGAGAACTTGTGCAATTCCCCTACTCGGTTCACGATGACAATGTCCCGTTCCACTTTGGGGACGGTAAAGGGGCGTGGGACTTCGCCTCGGAGGACCTGAAGGAGACCCTGGATGAACCGGATTGTCTTCTGTCTCCCATATCCGTTCATGATGCTTTGCACTGGATATGCGTTGTTCTTTACCCACCGTTTGATTTTCCCATTCAAGGACTCGAACACAAACATCCAATACTCTCGAACCGGTCCGAGATCTTCAAGCTGATCTACGGCATGGATTAGGAGATGAGTGTTCAGAACCCACCAGTGGGGGCTTAATCCAGTCCGGGGGCTCTCCATGGCTTTGAACCTGAAGGTAAGGTGTAAGTACGTGGGCCTCTGACCCGTACCTGGCCGCTCGCGATGGGCCGTCATCCGCACCGTCGTCGTCGCTCGAGTCACTGGACAAAAGCATCGGTACGCTGTGATCGGTGTCGGATCCAGAGCCTGTGGAGCGTAACACGGACATTACAGGGGCCGCCGGTTGCCTGCAAACGAAATGCAACCTGAACCCGCCTTAGTGCCACCGTACCTTCCAAGTCTTCCAATGAGGTAAGGTGTAAGTACCCGGGCTTCTGACCCGTACCTGGCCGCTCGTGATGGGCCGTCATCATCCGCGTCGTCGTCGATCGGGTCACTGGATACGCCTTGCGAAAGTATCATATAGTCAAAAACCAGGTATTGTGTACAGTCAGGAACACGAACTAGTGACCTTCGTAAGCGTGTAGTCAAGGGATGCTCGGTTATTTCGAGCCCCATTCCCACGGCGACCTCCCGGATTGCCGTAGAAATACGTATGAAGTTCTCTTCAATCATTGGCTCCAGCTCCCATGTTCGATCCGCAAAGGAAATGACCGCGGGTAAGTCCGCCAAATCCATGGGATCCGAGAGGCACTCCCACACGGCCGAATCGGCGGAAAACATGTCATGAATAATGTGGCAAAACACGTCCACCGACATGTATGTCGTGCGGAGCGTGGAACCCAGTCTGTCCCCCAGCATCCAGCATTCGATCCTCACAAGGTGTCGTCCTAGATGTTCTTCAGCAACCTGGCCGATGTCCCTGAAAAAACAAGATACGGCTTAGAACCGCTGTATTCGTACCGGGTACGGCCGTATGGATGCCCTACCTGTATCTGGTACTCGCATGGCATCACAACACCCCCCTGCCTAAAATCGGGTTGCGAGGACACCTTATGAGAGCCACACCGACTTCGCCCATGGAGGCTTCACCCTGTGGTGGTGGATCACAAGGTAGGTCACGGGAGGCCGCTGCATTCTCGTTCTCCTTATCCACGGTATCCCGTGCAAGGCTCGCCATAACCATTTCTAATTGCGTATCGCCTTTGCCGTATTCACCATCACACCAAACCCGCATAATCTCTTCATACGTAGCCCCCGTCACATGGCCGTAGTCGTTGACTGGTGGCCTTTGATTCTCCATATGATGACCCCCGCCGGGGTCCGGTCCCCTGCAAAAACCAAAGTACTGTCATCAACATGTCCGCCCGTACTACCACCACACCCTTACGTGGTATAATCTTGGTACGGGGCCACCTGCCAACTACTTACAGTGCGTACCGTCGTGGTACGTACGGGGGTATGCACATTACCGAATAGGTACGTACCTACCTACTAATATTGCCTTGTAAACTCGAAAATTGGGCAGGGCCTCCGGCGCATAAGTTGACATCTACCAATGATTTCCAACACATTCCATCCGAGTGTGAGAAAGTCCGGCCGTACCACCCCCATATCCTTACATAGTACGGCATCACCTACCAGGTACTTACAGTGAGTATTGCTAAGACACGATGGCACGCATGCTCTACATCACCGAATGCATGCACGCACTCGGCTTGGGAGATCACCTCGTGATGAGGTTCATGCCGACCCTGACCTCGGAGGCCTCGCCCGGGTCGCAGAGGGGTTCAGGGTATATGTCACGGGACGTGGAAGCGAAGTCGTTCAAGCTACCCCCGTTGGCCCGCGCCAACGCTTCCGCCTCACTTCCGTCCATACCTCCCCAAAACTCATGTTCCCAGTCGGAAATCCGAGGCTTTTTTGGATTTTGCGCTTCGCCATCGTTATCTCCATCATATCCTTCACCACCACCATCATATCCTTCACCACCACCATCACCTTCACGAGCCGTTTTATTTGGCCGCAATGCAAGAGCTGCTTTTTTGGCATAGTTTTGGGATTTTACAGCTGCCGGTATCCCACCCTGTGTTAATCGTTGCCCACGGTTGGCCATCCGATGCCTGAAACGCGCACCCCATCGCTACAAGTCACGTTTTGGTGGTGCAACGTCAGGTATGGTGCTGGTATGGCCATACTCAAAGATTTTCCCGAAACAGGTACGGTGAAGGTACGATGAGTAATATGGCCATACCCACACCTAGTACGGCCATACCCAGAGTCGTACCTTGGCCATACTTCATCAATGTACGTCGACTTTTGCGGCCATACCTAAAATAGGTGCGGCCATGTAAACCTCGCACCTGAAATTCTGGAAACCAGAAATATGAGATCTGATACCAAAATATGGCCATGTTTATACCCGTACATTTGTGTTCCAAAAAGTACGGGGAAGGTTTAGACATAGTCTGGTGTAAATAAGACCGTATCTGGTGACTTGCTGAAAAGATATGGCCATGTTTATACCCGTACATTTGTGTTCCAAAAAGTACGGGGAAGGTATAGACATAGTCTGGTGTAAATAAGACCGTACCTGTTGACTTGCTTAAAAAATGCCAACTTGCTTAAAACGCCGGAAAAAAACAAAAAAAACAACATTGGATGAACGGATGGGGCATTTACAGTGCAATATGTCGAACTTCTCAAAAATCTAAAATTCGGCTCGTAGTGCAAAAAAACGCCACCCAAGTCCAACGGAGATTTTTTTTTTGAATCACAAAAAAAATCCTTCACAGGTGAAGTCGAGTGCAGCCTCAGGTATGGTGCTGGCATGGCCATACCCAGAAATTTCCCCGAAACAGGTACGGTGAAGGTACGGAAAAAAAACTGACAAAGGTGCCAGTTGGAATCGACTGGTCGAATCAATAATACTGCAGCCGATTCTTCTATCGAATAATCGACACGTCGGTCGATTCTTCTATCGAGATCATTACGCATCGTGCGGGTGACCTGCGAGATTTAAAATCGTGTGGCACTGTATCGCTGTATCCGTCAGAATCGAGATCGATTCCCGATATCATCACGCAATTTGAATTCAGAACAGTGTCATCGATGTCACAATTGACTGTAGACGAGCCCTCCCCGTTGAGCACTCTTAAGCGTTCAGTGCCGTTGCTGTCCACACTTTCAAAAGGCAAGCGTAGCTAGTGCCGCTGCAACGAAACTTGCACAGGCAGTCGCACGTGTACGTTTTCTTGGCAGTGTACTGCGCAGTTTTAGTTTTAGAACTACGTGCCGGACGCAACTCTTATTTCATCCTTCGAAGATTGAAGTCTGCGTGACTAATTTCTTTAAAGAGAGATTGCGGCTTCTACATATCCGACCGACGGAGTTGAAATTGATGGAAAGACTCCGTTCGAAGGTACGTGCGAGTTGCTTTAACTTGGTCAGGTCTTGACCCTCTACTTTCTAGCGCGTTGGTCCCAAGCTTTCGAATACGTTGCCTTTAATTTCGTTGTGTTCGCGGTACAGATTTGAAGTAGCATCGTTGACTAAAGCGTCTTCAACAAGCAAAAATGTTAGCCGCTGCTATTTATAGAAGCTGGACTGCGGCGTTTACAAAATACGTTTGAACAAGTTGCTGAAGCAGCGATCCCGACGGTCAACGCATCTGAGGTAATTTGCCGCGCAGAATTGCGGCCGTGGCACTTTAAGTATTTGTAATGTTGTCGCATATTTCGTTCCAGCTTTTTTAGACTTTTGCTTTACAATCAGAGTCTAAGATGCGGCTTTATTGTTATCGTTTGCAGAGTAACAAGAAGCCTGAACATGATCACACGTGATCAACGCTGAATAAAGTGCGAATGTCCTCGGTAAGTATGGCCATACCTCGCACATATCTGGTAGACAGCATCCGCTGATCTGCGGATACTTATCCGCAGATCAGCGCCTCAGTGACACGCACGGCATGTAGTCACCGGTGTACTTGCACAGTTTTCAAAGTCAGTACTTCATGTAAAAACATGTTTTACTGAACTGAACATGAAGTACACGTTGACGTCACACACGCATCACGCTCAAATTGGAGTGCAACATATAATTATAGCTCCAGCGTCGAAGCATTCTGGGACCATACTGACTCAACTCATTATTAACACGATTACATACGCAATTTATAGAATATGTAAGCGAGATGGAGCAATGGTAGCTCAAGCAGCCCGTGTGCTGAAAGATGCTGGTTCGAATCCAGCTCTCGCTGAAATATATATCGAATATCGTCTTAATACGGGCATACCTATACAGTACTTGAATGATACGTATGGCGTAACTTATGCAGTATAATATATAATATGGTTATAATAATGCCATACCTACACAGTACATATCATGAATCGTATGGCCATACTTTGGCAGTACCTTTAAGTATTACGCCGTACCAGGTGCTGCGTAGGTAAGGCCACACCAAACCATTATACATTGATAGTACGGGCAACGTGTGGCCGTACCTGCACGATACACCTGGACAAATACGGCCGTACCTAGTACCGCGTTATAAACACAATACCATGTATGGGCATACCTATGCAGTACTTGAATGATACGTATGGCGTAACTTATGCAGTACAATACATAATATGGTTATAATAATGCCATACCTACACAGTACGTATCATGAATCGTATGGCCATACTTTGGCAGTACCTTTAAATATTACGCCGTACCAGGTACTGCGTAGGTAAGGCCTCATAGGTACTGTGTAGGTAAGGCCACGCCAAACCATTATTCATTGATAGTACGGGCTAAGTATGGCCATATTAAGTAACACCTTACTTACACCAGACTAGGACCATACTTACACCATACTTTTTGGAACACAAATGTACGGGTATAAGTACGGCCATACCTAGGCCACACTGGATACATTTCAGGTATGCCCAAGGTATGGCCTTACCAACAAATTTGTGTTTTTGTAGGGAGTGCCTTCCATGTCCGAGATCTCTGAGATTCCCACTGTGGTGGGTAATGGACACCCCCCTTCTGACTCAGCCCCCTCCACCGCAACTCCCTCCCCACCACCTTCAATGCCCTCCCCACCGGCAGCCCTTTGTGTCCGATACCCACATGGAGGACAATCCCTCCCCCATTCCGTCGCACCCCCGACAACCGCCACCGCCACCACTAAACCAGCCTCTTCTGACTCACCACCTTCCGTTGCAGTTGCTGCAATGTCCCCCATCGACAGTGCCTTCCATGTCTGAGATCTCCGAGATTCCCACTGTGGTGGGCAATGGACACCCCCCTTCTGACTCAGCCCCCTCCACCGCAACTCCCTCCCCACCACCTTCAATGCCCTCCCCACTTGCAGCGCCCCCAACAACCTCCACCGCCACCGCCACCACTATACCAGCCTCTTCTGACTCAGCACCAACCGCCGCCGAGCCGAGAATCGAGATTACCAGGATGCTGGCGACCTCAAAGGGGTCAGGAAAGCAACAGAAGCCCCAAGCAACGCTAGAAGAAATTCTTCATAAAGCCATGTACCCGGAAAACCCGAAAACCGCCAAGCCAGCACAGGAGCCGGAGCCGGAGCCTGCCGAGAATCTTACTCCATACGAGCTGCTTCGCAGAGATAATATTGCTACAAATAAACACAGGCTGGAAAGCCTTGTAACGCAAACTATCCTTGAGCCAGATAAGGTGGTAGCTAGCACGGTGGCACGAAAGTTCGCGGCGCTGGAGAACGAAGTGCTTCGAGATCGGATCTTGGAGGTATCTAGGAAGCCAACTCCGAAGCTCCTAATGACTGCCAAAGTGTTGCTATCGTCCATTGAGCCTGCCTTCATGGAGGTTCCTCCGGATTTCTCGAAGAGCGACAAGACTAAATTGACGAATCTTGTTAACAAGATGTTAGCTGCAAAATTCCGCGAAGACCCGGCACTGAAGAAGGTGTTCGACGACGCAGTGACTGCACAAGACGCTTTGGCATCGAAACCGAGCGCTGAGGAGAAAGCTGTGGTGAAACCTCGGCGGGGAAGCCGGAAAACAGTCGGACAACATCACGGTAGCGAGATGAAGGAATTGGCTGCCGTGGCGCGTGGAAGATTGCTCCAGGATGTGCAGGACGGAGCACGGAAGGTTTCGGCGACCAAAGACAACAAGACCAGCCTCCTACATTTTCAAAATGACCCCACAGATCCCGAGAATGTTGCTCGGTTTGCAATGACTGATACATCATATGGAGACAAGGTGTCCACACCTCATTTGTCCAAAATGGTGGAGATCGGGAAGACCATTGTGCTGGTGGATGTACCTGAGTGGAAGGGTGAGCGACTCGGTCACATAATAGGGCGTGATGATTGTGCCAGAGATCCGCTCAATCGCTCTGGTGTGATCTTTTTCATCGACTTTTGCGTGTTCCACCGACACGAGTTTGACTGCCACTACCTGGACATTGCAGCACTGCGCTCCTACAACATGAAGGTCATTGTCGGCGCCTATGTGGACGACGCATATAACGTGTGCGCCCTTGGTAAGGGAGCGCATGTTGAGGCCCTTGATTCCATTCGACAAGCTGAGTCCTCCAAAACCATGGACGAGACGACACGGAGCGATCGCTTCATGGCTGTGCTGCCTTCCATGGCTGAAGACCTTTTTGTCAAACATGCATACAGTACATCTGACGAATGCTTGGAGGCCGTGGGTGGGAACGTGGGATACATACCCCAGATAAGGTCCTGGGACAAACCTCATGCGATGTGGGCCTGCAAAAAAAAAAGAAAAAGAGACACCCTTGGACAGGGTGTGGGGCTTTGTGAGTCCCCTTGACTCCTTCTTCTTTGTCCCTTAGTCTGGTTCCTTGTCTACTTTAGTTCTGTATAGTCTGTTTAGGCTTACTGCAAATCCTGTCGCTAGGTCATGTATTTTCCTGAGTAGGTGTAGGGCTTCCTGTCTGTCGAATCCTAAGTGTTTGGTCAGTATTTTCTCCGTGTGTTCGTATATTGTTCCCGTATTGCCGAATACCATTACGTGCAGCGTTACCTTGTAGCCATATAGTTCTAGTAGTTTTACTAGCGGTGTGTATTTTGTGTACTTTGTTTTTAGTGCTTCCTCCCAACTCATTTCGTCTGTGTATGTTACCTCTATCAGGTGTATGTGGCCCGCTTCCGTCATTGCCTTTTGGTGTGTGTACCCAGGCTGCTCATTCCCCTTTTCAGTTCCCTCTAGCATTACTATGTCCACGTAGTGTGGTATGGTGTCCTTTCCGTGTGCTGGTGCCGGTGTGTTTCGTCCGTCCAGTCTGCATTGCCCCCTTGTGAGGAGGAAGTCTTCTATTGGTCTCCCGTTGTTCATTCCTTTCCCTTTTTTCCCCGCATGGGTTCTTATTACACATCCTCCTTTCCTGCCTTTGCTAATTGCTTTCGCTATCATTTTGGTGGTCTCATCCGACCTGCTTATTATCATGTTCTTTATCTCCCTCTCTGTGCATCCTCCCAGCACATGGGCTGTGCGTATGAATCCTCCCGCGTTTACTTGTCTGGGCATCCCGCAGCATTTGCATTTTTGCGACCTTCTCCCTCCTTGCTGCTTCTTGTATGGTCCTGCTGGTAGTTTGTTCGCCCGGCATCTTAGCAGGACTGTCACGTCTTTCTCGTTTAGGTATTCCGTTCCCTTCTTCCAGTATCCATTAGAGAGCTTGTGCATGGCTTTATCACCTTTGAGGTGCTGCATGTATTTTTCTGGCTTTTCTTGTGTTGCTGTCAGTATTTTTTCCCTCGAGGACTTTCTCCATTCCTTCACTTGGTGTACTTCCTTTTGCGCTGCTTCCTGGTCCTGTACCATTTCCTGGAGTGCTCTCCATTCTTCCTGTGCTTCCTCCTGTTGTTGGGCCATTTCTCTGAGCTCGGCTACGGTGTCCTGCTGTGTTGTCGTGTCCACATTCTGTGTTTCCGGTAGCTTCAGTTTCTGGGTTGACCCTTGTGCAGTTTCTCCTTGGGCTTCCCTCGGCCCTTCAGCTTCCCGTAGGGCTGGTTGGTCGGGTTTTGCCTGGCTTTGGGTTCTTCTTCGTTTTTGTCTTTCTCCCTGTTCTAATGCCTCCTCTTTCTGTATTGTTCTTGTCTTCCATCCCTGTTCCTTATTCATTTCTACTCCCCGTGTGCTCTCTCGCCCTTGCCCCCTCTTTTGTTTAGCTTGTTGTGCTGTTTGTACTTGCTGCTCCTGTATTAATGCCTCCTCCTCTAATCGTTCCATCCTCTGGAGTTCCAATTCCTCTTCCTGTTCCTGTTGCCATTCTGGTTCATCGGGCCAGGTGTCTGCCCAGGCTGTTCCTATTTCAGTAGGCTCCCGGTTTCTTTGTGCGTATTCTGCCTCCTTCCTCTCAATGCGTTGTCTTTTGGTCTCCCATTCTTCTGGCCCGGTTTCTAGTTTCCTTTTTAGTCTTTGTATTATGTTCGTTTTTCCCGTCATTTTTGCCTCCCTCACCTTTTTTGTTACATGGTTGAGTATTGCTTGGTGTCCTTCCAGTTGTCTACCCGTGGCCTCGCATATTGCTAGTAGCATCACTGTATCCGTGTTGTCGTGGTTGAGGCCGTATTCCCCTTCTTCACAGGCCCTTTTTGCCACCTCGTCCGCCATTTCATTCCCATGTATTCCCACATGCGCTTTAACCTTGTATAGGGCCACTTTTGTTCCCTCCTTATTTAGCTTTTGTATTTGTTTCATTATTTTCCACAGCAGGTCCCTGTGTACGTGCCTTTCAAGCGTGTGCGGCCTTCTTTTCATGTTTTGTATCTGGTAGAGGGAGGTCAGACTATCCGTGCATATGCTGACTTTCTCTTCTCCCAAGTTTGAGTCTAGTGTCAGTGCCATATATATGGCAGTGAGCTCCGCCCTGTTAACAGTTTGGCAGCGTCCGGCCCATCTTTGCATGTGGTTCATTGCCCGTTCCCCTCTTGGGTCCCAGACACCTGCCGCCGTTACTTCCTCGACTTCCCCGTTTTCCTTTTTGACTTTTCTTTGGCTTCCATCTGTGTAAATCATATTGTTTCTGTTATGCCTCCTTTGGGGCTCTGGGTATCCTTTCCCTTGGTTGTCCCACTTGCTTTCTGGTGGTGGTTCTGCTTTCTCCTTTTCACCCCTTTCCCACTGCAGCCATTGGTCTCCGTTTATGTGCTCGTCCGTTGTGTCTGGGCCCGTAAATTGTAATGCCCACCTTCTTAGGGCGTCTCTGTTTATTTCCTCCCTACTCCACGTGGTGTTAGC